GCTCGGCACCCACCCCCACCTGCCAATCAGCTATTCAGGGCGAGCTGGAGTCACTCAGGGAAGGGAGCGGAAAGGAGGAGGGGCTTAGGGAAAGGGGCGGACTGGGGGCGGGGCCTAAGGATGGAACAAGGGCGGAGCACCTGCCCAGATAATGAAAGGCAGTGCCTGTGACTGATCTCAAAGCATAGGGGGTCATGGATTGGGTTGCCAGGTGTCCAGTATTGGCCCAGATAGTCCGGTATTTGCTGCCTCTGTCTGATTAAAAAAACAAAAAATACTGGACATGATTTTCTCAGACAGAAGGCCTCTTGGGACGTTCTTCCCCTGCTGCGTCGGGCGGGGGGAGCAGGGAGTGGGGGGATTTAAAGGCGCAGTGCCGGGGTTTTTTGTGTGTTTTTTTTTGGTTTGGTTTAGTTTGTTGCTCAACAACTTTCTTCTTCTCAATAACTTTGGTCCCGTGGTTTTTTGGTGTTTTTTCCCGCCACGGTCGGTTATTTTTTGTGAAAGTATCTAGCAGCCCTAGTCATGGATGAGGCTCTGTGCTGGGGCATGAGTTCGGTGGGGCTACGTATGGCTTCGGAGATCTGCTGTGAGTGGAAAGGAAAGCCATGGAAAGCACTGGAGGGCGTGAGCAAGCTAGTGTAGGCATCATGCAGGAGGAAAGGAACACCAGGGCTGTGTCTACACTGGCAAGTTTTTCCGGAAAATCATCTGATTTTCTGGGAAAACTTACCAGCTGTCTACACTGGTCGCTTGAATTTCCGGAAAAGCACTGGCGATCAAATGTAAAATCATCAGTGATTTTCCGGAAAAACTATGCTGCTCCCATTCGGGCAAAAGTCTTTTTCCGAAAGACTTTTGCCCAAAAGGGCCAGTGTAGACAGCACAGTACTGTTTTCCGCAAAAAACCCCCATCGCGAAAATGGTGATCGGGGCTTTTTTGCGGAAAACCGCGTCTAGATTGGCCACGGATGCTTTTCTGCAAAAAGTGCTTTTGCGGAAAAGCATCCTGCCAATCTAGACGCTCTTTTCCGAAAATGCTTTTAATGGAAAACTTTTCCGTTAAAAGCATTTCCGGAAAATCATGCCAGTCTAGACGTAGCCACAGAGTCTTCCCCCTGGTTTCCCTGCTTTTCAGGTCACTGGGCAAGGAGGCTCGTCCTGCTGCGACCTTAGCGACCACCCCCATGGGTTTTGTTTGCCGGTGAGTGTTTGCATTGCCGGTGCACGGGTCCCAGTAGCGATCGGGGCCTGGTTGTGCTGGTAGCTGCACAGACAAGTCGAGGTCCCTGGCCTGAAGAGCTTCCAACCTAAATAGCCAAGCAAGGCCCAGGGCTCGTCCGCGGGAGCAGGGAGAGCTGCACTGACCAGCAATCCAACCATGTTGTGCTGGGGGCTATTTTGGAGACGGGCCTGATGTCTCTCCAGTCGTCTGCCTCTGTGAACCAGCCCAAGCTCCATTGATGCGGGTGGGTTGGGGACTGGGTGTGGTGTCCGTGCTCCTGTGAGCAGTGGGATACCCCCAGGCTCGGGAAGTAGGGGTGTGGGGGATGCTGCAGCACCCCCAGTTTGCACCCAGCATGGCCCCATGCCAGAGTCTCTCCGCCACCAGTTCCTCACCGGAAGCCTTGGCTGCTGGTACCTCAGTTGCTACCCAGGGTCCTGGCTGCTTTCCCCACACTCTGGGGCTCCACTGCCTCCCAGCTGCTGGCCTGGGGCTCCATTTCTGACCCTGGCCTGGGGCTCCTCGCCCCCAGCCTGTGGCAGTGGGTGGAGCTAACAAAGGTAGGTGTGTGTGTGTGGGGGGGGTGCCACTTAGCACCTCCATCCTAAAAATCCTTCCAGCACCATTGGGGCAGCCTCATCAAGCGTTTCCAAGCCCCCAGCCTGGGCGTCAGAGAAATGAGGGTTGACTGACCAGCTCAGAGGAGGCAGCAGCCAGGGAAGGAGGGTGCCGGTCCAGGACTCCCCACTCTGATATTTGCTTTGTTCTCACAGGGGGCCAGAGATGCCCGTCCTCTCGGAGTCCTGCTAACACATTTCCTACAACGGAACTCCACCAGGTCTGGCGCGGCCGGTGGAAATGAGCGATGATATTGACCGGAGCACGCAGGGTGCAAGGCATCACTCACCCTCCACGGCCTGCCGCGTCCCCTCCTGTCTGGTGATAGGCTTGACCACACAGCTCACAGTCCTGACATGCAAGCGCTGTGCCCCTCCCTGGCTAGCTCTGTGGCCGCATCCCTCTTCTGCTCTGCTGCACCTTTTGCTGCTCTGGGCAGGGGACTGATCATTTCGCCAAACAGCCTGGCACTTCTTCTAGTCAGAACTCACCTCAAGGCTCTTGCCCTCAAACCCAAGTCACATGGATGGCTGGTCTGGGAATAATAGCCCCCGTCTCAGTTCCATGTGCATAACTCATGTTTCTCCCTTGGGTGGAAGTGTTTGTTCCTGTAACTGAAGATGTGTGGTCCGTGGACGTACAACCGAGTCAGATTAACTGCAGATCATTACAATCCACAGAAATCCGGAGCAGACAGGAACGGCTTTTCCTATGTTTCATCCCAGGGTGTATCGGTTTTATCGTTCGTAGACTGTTTGCGTGGCATTTCCCTCTCATTAATCAAGTTCCTCGAGAACCCACAGCTTGGTGGAGCCATTCAAAATGATCCCTGGGTTATAACACAGGCATCACATTCGTGAGCCAACCTGTGGCAGCTGGAAACGGGGCCTATGACCATGAGCTCCAGAAATGCAGCCCTTGAGGAAGGAAAGAATCCAGAAGGAAACAATAGACTCTAATAGGCATTTAATAGCCCCTGATGCACTTTGTGCAATGGAGGACAGCAGTCCCCAGCTCAACCTGACAGTAGAAAAGGGCTGCAGTTTCGACTGGGTGGAGTGGGTCTAGGAGAAGGCTATGCCTGTGGTTAGTGCACTGGGTCGGGATTCAGGAGATTTAAGGCCAGCTCCTAGATCTGTTCCATGCCCCTTACCTGACCTGGAGCAGCTCACATTGTCTTGCTGTGCTTTTGTTCTCCAGCTGTAAAACGGGGCTGATGAGCCTTCCTTTACATCTTACTTCAACTGTAAACTCTTCAGGCCTGGGGTTACCTCTTGCTCTGTGTTTGCACAGCTCCTTGCACGGTGGGGCCCAGTCTCTGTCATGGCCTCTAGGTGCTATTGTACTATTGTAATGGGCCGCTGCGGCAAACTTTACCTGGAACTTAAGAAAACCAGCCACATCTGACTTTGAAACGCTTGAAGGGACCTTTAATATGGTTTTTAGTGGAATTTTCGAGGTTTATTTAAAATAAATACCAGGGTTGGGAACTGTCTGGTGGGGGCCATGTCGGGATAGGTGCTAGCCCAAAGCCAGCGTCATTTGGGAGCGCAGGCTTCATTTAGTCAGCGTTGGCTTGGCCTGGTAAATGCACAATCTACTCCTGCTCGTTTCAGTGCTGGGATTGGTCAAAAAGGCTCATGAAGTTTCCTGGCCAGCTTTGGGAACTGGGAGGAGGCAGGTCTCCGGGAGGCAGAAAGACAGAGGGCCAGGCAGGCCTTCACTAAGTCGTTACCCAGGGCCACAGTCTCAAATATCTGGCCCTGATGGGGGAGGCTGAGCCCACCTGTTTCTGCCTTGGCGGGACAGTGTAGGCAACGGAAGGGGTTCTAAACCAGTGTGACCCCTCCCTCGTGGGAGGAGCTCCCCGTAATCGCCTGAGAAACCAACTCATTATCCGTCCTCAGAACTCTCCTTTGCCGTGATGCCTCCGGAAAACGAAACATGATCAGGCTGCAGGTGCCCTGAGACCATGGCCTGCCATGCCAGCCAATAGTGTCTCATTGTTTCCCTGGGTCCCCCAACTACCTGCCTCCAGCCATCGGTTGTCTCTTGCTTTCTTCGGTGATTATAAATGCTGAGGGGATGGGGCATTTCTTTGTCCTGAGTTTGCAGTGGGGCAGGCGCCTAGTGCGATGGGAATTCAGATCACAATAATGATTTTGGGTGGCGCATGGAGGGTGTAACTAGGAGAAGCAGGCGGGTAAAATTTAAAAAAGGATGATTTCCCCGGAGCAGTAGGAAAAACACCTGGGGAGATGCGGTCGGGGCTGTGGGCATGGGAGGAACACTCATGACGTTGGACTTTTAAAACTAGCCATCTCGTAGGGCTGGGTTCCCTGGTGGCCCCGCTGTCTTGTAGCCAAGGGAACTAAACCAGCTGAGATGCTGAGCCCGCTATGGGGGTGCGTGGCGATGGAAGCAAGATTTTTCATCCTCTGGCTCTTTGTGTGTTTCATGGCTCAGGATACCCCCTTACCCTGGACAAAAGCAGGAGCTGGGCACGGGGAGTCGCTTCAGGGCTGGGACCGTGTTCCCCGGTGGGGGTGAGTACAGCACTTGGCGCAGTGGGGCAGGATCCTGGCTGGTGCATGGGAGCATCCCTGGAAGCATCCGAGAGTTCTCCGGAGCCAGCCCGGCTCAATCCCGCCTGCTTTGCTGC